AATAAGAAAAATATGTATTTTTAATTTTTTTTTTTTATATTTATATTTTAAAAATAGTAAAAAGAAATTTAGTAGCTTAAAATCAGTTTAAAAACTATTGAAATTAAATAATTTATATATTTACCTTTATAAGACTTTCCTTAAGCTTTTTTCAAGAGAAACTTAGCTGGTATATCGAAAATTTTACCACCAAAAACTTGATTGCACTCACTCCTGTTGCTCTCATTGCTCATATCCAAGCTGCACTGTATTCGCCCATCACCTGATGTCAACTGTTTCAGTTGCCGCTGCCGCTGCCGCTGCTGCTGCTGCTGCTGCTGCTTCTGCTGCTAGTCCTGCTGCTGCAGTTACAGCTGTCCAATTGTCCGACTGTTCGTCTTTTGTATGAACAACATCATCCTCGTCGTCTGGGCGCTGCATCATCGTCATCGTCGTCGTCGTCTTCAGGGTTTATTTATTTTCTCCTTCTTCTTTTTTTTTTGTCGCTGCTTTGTTGCTGTTAATAGTCGCTGCGGGCCAAATCAATTCCATGCGAAGTTGTAAGCCCGTCGTCTTTGGCTATTTTATTGGTTGACAATAAAAGTGAGCCAAGTGTTTGCTTGCTGCCTTCTGCTGCTGCTGACTTCTGCTGCTGCTGCTGCTGGCCTCGAACTGGGCTCTTGTATGCTGCACAGCATAATAATTATAATCCATTTTATTTCTAGGCTTTGCCATAGCAATTCCATCGATCATGCAACACACACCAGCACACACACACACACACATGCTCAGAGTTAGTCACAAGCCAAGCTGGGTCACGTGTGTGCGCTGACCTCTGCCAAAGCCACAACAACAACAACAACAGCTGCATTTAATGTTTAAGTTTTGTGCATTGTATGTCCGTCACTTGAGCAACTGTTGCTGTTGTTGCTATTGCAGTTGCTGTTGTTGTTGCTGTTGCTTTGCTGTGTCGGCGACTGCACGCCAAGATGCCAAATATCTAATGCGCTTCCACCAAAATGATCAAATTCATGGAATTCGCATAAAGCAGCGACCAGGTCGCAGCCTCCACCCAATCCCCGCGCCCCCCCTCAACTCCACCCCTCTCTCTCTCTCTCTCTCTCTCTCTGTCTCTCCCTACTCTCTCCTGCTGAATCTTTCATCTGTGCAGCTTTATCTGGCTGCTGCTCCACCCATTTGCATCTGCTGAGTCGCTGCGTAGAGCAAACAAAACCCAGCGACAGGTGAATCGGCCGCCCGTTGACTTGCCCCATACGGTCCGGTCAGGGGCCGTGGGTCCATAGCGTGTGGACACTGTAGCGCGTAGCGGGCAGCGGGTGGCAGGCGGCGGTTGGTGCTGGCTGCTGTGGCTGCTTTGGCGGGTGGGTGGCTAGGCGGGGCCAGGGGCGTTGCACGCCGAATGCCAGCAGTTACAGTGGGCCGCGGGCTGATTGAAAACTGACATCAAGATAATTTAAAGATAAAATTATAATTAATTTAAGGAAAGTTGAAACGGAATACAAATAGATTTAATGTAATTATTTAAGCATATCTTAAATATAAAAAATGTTAATTTAATAAATTTTTTAAGAAAATATTAAAAATATAAAATATTAATTTGATTAATTATTTATGCGCTAGAATGATTGATAAAAATACTTATGCGAATATTTAGTCTAAATCTTTATTTATTATTACGTAACTTTTAATAATGGATATTAAAATAT